TTGCATTTATACAAGTGCAGTATTTAGAAGTAACTCTGGCCTTTCAGCATTGGGGAATGGGATGACATATTACGGTCAGAAATCAGGCATCAGGCATCAGAAATCAGGAATTTCCAGCAAGTAGCTCTCCATGAATCACGAATCCACACGCACGCAAAATACAATGCTAAAAATATGTACACTGGTCACGTTAGCGCGTCAAGCGGACCGACCAGGACGGACTGACGAGGTCAGGCTACTTCTTCAAGTTGGAGCAGCAGTGTGAAACATGGGAAACGCGACCGACAGAAACGATGATTGGGATTCAATTCTGATCCTGGAGAATTTGTTTTGGGATATTACTGTGTTTGATTCAGAGTTGTTATATACTGCAGATTCGATTTACAATACAGACATTATGGATACAAAATTTTTGAAAGTTTTTCACTTGAACATCTTAATTTTTTATTATCCTTTGCGCAGAAATGTGATTCTCGACTGAAATCGCTTCAGATAGTACACTATGTTGCTTTTACGGGTTTAATATTGGCAGCAGCTATAATCATGGAAGGAGATCGACGAGCAGAGAACCGCAGAAGCGACTGATTTGCAATATGCATCGGCCTCATCTTCTCTCATCAATATAATTGCGATTTGGCAATTAATCACGGAAAATGTTTTCACGATTGTGGGCAATCACTCGCGGGATGAGTAATTATAGCGACATTTCGGAGTCAGAGGAATAGGACATATGATTATCACATGTAGGAGCGATGATGAGGCAGAGGCAACATGGGTGTTTATATTACGCCTCAAGCAGTCGGAGAAAAGGAGTGGACCAAGGGCTGGAAAAACACATGGAAGTTCGGAAATGCCTGCATTTAAATGAAAAACTTTCCCAAAAGGACATTTCCATTGTAACTCCTCTCGACGCTGAAATTTAAATTTCAACGTCGGGAGGAATCCCAAGGGATTCCATATCACAAAACTCAGTGGAATTTCCCCCTGTATCCAAGTTCTTTTTGCTATGGCTCCGCTCGGATGAGATGCTGCTTTTGGTTTAGTACTTAGCACCGGAAGGAAACTTAATGAATTCATCCTTATTTTTGCGACCGCACGACCTCGTTCCGTTTCCACGGACCATTCAAGAGTCGAATAATATTGAGGAATTCCGTACTGACTCTCAATGCTTCAACTGCAATATGTTGATGCTACCTGCACTTTTGGGATTGGGTTGCCTCTTGGTCCGAGGTCTAGCTGGGAGTCCTTCTCTGAGGGCAATGACCTTGACCATTGCGATGACCTTCGGTCGCGGGTATGGACACAGTGGCCCTGTATCATCAGAATGACATCATTTAGTCATATTCTGGGTTCCAATTGGTTCACATCTTGGGGAACTGAACCGTCTTCATCGATGGAAACCTGGAATCGGTTGCTCTGGTTTGGTTCCTACAAAAGCCTCAGGTCGAAGTGGAACAATGCGAAGACTAGGGCTTTCGCACAAGATGGCAATTAGATCTTCAAAACTCTATTTGTTGTTTTCGTACTTCAAAGGAAAATAAGGAAAGTTTCACATCAGCGATATTGCCCTAATATCCCGATGTATCCACATTTAATGTGACATGCAAAACTTTGAAGAAGGAAAAAAATTTGTTCCTTTTAGTATATTTTATGCGTGCATGCTAGAGCAATTTCACATTCAGGCGCTCATTATCAGCCCCCTATATTCTTATGTCGGCAAAGAGCCTATTGAAAACTTCACCGTTGACAATCTAAGCACCGTTGGAGGGTTCTGTGGTTCTTGCGTTTCCTGTCGACTTTGATTTCGTCAAGTTGGCACTGATTTAAACATCTGGCACTAGAATTCCACCAGATTCTGTTTGAGGGACTTCGCAACTTCCTAACTAAAGCAAGAGAAGGCTTGGCATTTCTGAGAGATTGGCCTTACACCCAGAGAAGGCTATCTTCTCGAAAATTACTCACAAGCTGCGGGAAATAGGTTCATCTGAGAAGTAGGGAGGGAGTGGTGGACGAGAACTAGCTTAAACTGGAGAAAGCTCCGTTTTATGGAATATGTTATTGTTTCTCCAAGGATCCCAGTAGCCAAAAACTCCTATCAGCAAATTGTCAGACGTAGGTGAGCTTTTTCAATGGAGAGGAAAAAAAATCCGTGAGGGGAATTGTCATTTTTAATCAGTGAGACGAGCCTTTCAGTCAGCGTCCAGGTATTAGCGCAAAAGTAAAATCACTGTTTCCTTTTGCACAGGGTGTTCCACGTATTTCGGACGTATTTCCCGTTTTATTAGTTAAAAATAGTTCATGCATTTAACCTAGAATTAAAAAAGAATTCGATAGGAACTTTGGAAATTTATGATCCAACACGTAGAATTCACACGCATTGCTTTTTTTTCTTTACAGGTAGAAAACATTTGTCAAATGCCCTCCATCCTGATGTATGAGTTCCCTGCGTCGAACCAAAACATTGTTTATTACTGCCTGCAATGTGCTCCTGTCGATGGTAGTAATAATTTCCCTAGTTGTGTTCCTTAAGTCATGAGCATTTCCTACGACTTTGTGTGATACACTTTTCGCAATATTACTGCTAAAAAATGCATTCCCTGCTAGCCAAAACCAATAAGAGTAACACGTACTGTTCCACATCATGGAAATGACCTGACACTTTCCAATTCCTGAAACTTAGACAACTTACCCCGCTCGCATATTTTATGGAACGAATTATTCATTGCTTATGTTAACCCTCTACCAGGCAGAATAACTTTATTCCACTCCTAAATAGCAAATGCTTATTTACACAGGAAGATTCTTCTTTTCCATTCCTTGTTCTGTTGGAGAACTTCCAATTTTAAAAAAGTTCACCTTATCCTGATAGGTCACCTATATAAAATTTCCGAAATATGCAAAGTCTGTACGGTTGATGTGCATATAAATCTGGCTAGTCCCAGAATTCTCCCAACGGAGGGCTATGATTTCACCTGGAGGACGGAACGAAATATCACCTAAACATATACAAAAACACTTATTTTCAGGACTTGAGAGAAGCCACGTATAATATTTTTCATATTGTGAAATCTAACCTTCCTCAATTAACCCTGTCTCATTTAAGAAAAACCTTCTTTTTTCCCATCTCCTTCCTCAACCCCCACCACTCGGCCTAAGCAAGAAGGTTTTTCTTAGCTTATGCAGTGTTAATTATGCACTGCTTAAAAATATTACTGCCGGAAATATTACTGCCGGAATAATTCTTCATTGGAACCTAAATGTGCTAGCAATCACCATCATGACAAAAATATACTGAAGGTCACCTTGCCAGACGTTCTCGGAATTTAGCCAATAAAAATAAAATTTCTCACTAAAACTGAAGCTTTGTTCAGTGATTTCTTAAGCATCATTCGATAAAAAGTAGCCATACATTTCTTCTTTGATCATTTGAAGGTAATATAGGCAAAGAGCTAATAGCGGGAGAAGTCTACATTTCGTTGGTACAGGTATCTATTTCCCTATCAGTCTCAGCGAGAACATCTAGTGATGGACACCAATGCTGCAGGACAATTGACTCTGGAATACGTCATGGTAGGATTGTCTGCTCCATTGAACTTATAAAATCTAAGGTAGCATCCATCTCGAATGGCTTGAGGAAGAGCATCACTCGTTGGCGAGAAGAAAAACCACTACATCGATTGCCCCATCCATTCTTTTGAAATCTAGTAGCAGACAACATTGAAACAACGTGGATTCAACATCGATTCAACATCCGGATGTTGAATCAACCTTGAATCAATGATTATTCAATGTTATGTGCCACTAGGGTGCATTCCACTGCGGACGGCATCCATTGAAGGATCCAACGTCTCCTCCATGAATTTGAAGATCGAATTGATTTGCATTCACGTCACCTCCACTGTTGGTAACCGGGACGCTTTTCTACATACCCCCTTACAGATAAAACCAGCTGGCGCCCGGCAGCCAATGACAGCTCCGGATCGATGCCCGTCATCGCGAAGCAGCATGGCGCGATACACAAGCGAAAGCTCTCTCCATTCGTATGACCTCCCTCATGTCATATTTATTCCTTGAGTTAGGCATCGCGTGTTAACGTACACCGCAACAAGTAAGTAATATATTTGCAGTTGAATTTCCTTGGGAAGGTATGAGAACGCCAGCGATCGGCCTAACGTGACACGTCCTCGACGTCCTACAGTCTCCAGAACCATGGATTCACCCTTATAGGAATAATTCTGTGGTCGTATGACAGAAGGAGACGAGTCCACTTTTGACGAAAGTAAGCTGACGTCACCAGGGCCGGATTAACCCATAGGCTAAAGCCTTAGGCCCTCATCTTCAAGTCGATGTTTTTTTCCAATACGTAATTCATACTTAGGCCCTTCCCACCCATTAGCCTTAGGTCCCTCATGACCTTAATCCGGCCCTGATCCATATTGAATGAGTCGCGATCCGTATTTTGGTTCAACGGGATGAGTTCAACTCCTGTCGGGAGAAAACATCAAGGGTGGGTTGCATAGAAGTGGAACGGTCAGGTAGGTTATACGGAGAGGAATTTTAACATCTTCCCCCTGAAAAATCGCGAAAATGGACAAATCGCCTTCTGTCGTGCCATTACAGAATTGGACCCCGTAAGTCGAAATTTGAGATTATTTTTGAGAGATAAAGGGTAGGCCTTGACGTGACCTGAAGACAGTTTCTTGCTTAGGCCAAAGCCTAACGTTAATGAGTCCCGTAGAGAAAGGGGAGAGGGGGGGTTGAAGAAAGGGAAAGCCATTGAAAATTGGATCTCACATTCCTTCATACTACGATAGACCGATTGGGACATACACCGACGCACGGAGCGAGTGCAAAAAGTGACATGGCCTGAGAAATAATAGCGCGATGAGCTCTGATGACTTCGACGGCAGGGCAGACGTTCGCTTGGCTGCAGTGCACTTACAGATCAAGATCACGTGATCACGATCCGGCCAGTGATTGGCTACATGGATTTGATGGTTTTATCTGTATGTAGTAAAGCAAACCGGAACAATCATGTTTTTTCCTTGGACTCGACCACTGGTGAAAGCAACTTCATAGCATGCCCAGCAGCGGTCTTCTTCACTCAAGTCCAAAATGGTGGCAGCAGCAAATCCATAGGCCAATTGGTCATTGATGGCCTATGGTGTCTGATCGTTACAGGTGAAGGCTTCACTTCCACATCATCCACAAATAGCATTGGGATTGCTAAGGATAAATAAATAATTCTGCCTAAAACGCAAGCAGCATGTTCACGTAAACAAGATATCAATTTTTTGCAAACAATATGCATTTCTTGCGATAGCCATGAAAATGACATCACATGAATCTCGTATTCCTTTACGTTCTTCAGAATTCTTGGGTGGTTAGACGAGTACGCGAGTACTCATCCTCACCAGCTCTGAAGAGTACCAAAGTGACTCGGGGAATCATTAAATGCTGAAGTTAAGCATTTTATTATAGCAGTGCAAGAGATTATGGAAGAATAGAATCCCTACCACACAAGTACTGCATCTTCTCTGTCCTAAAAGGAAGAGAGCTCCATTGAACATCTACTCCTCCTCCCGAGGTTCTGGTACGGGAGGAGGAAGCAGTAGGTCACTTTGGTACTCTTGAGAGCTGGTGAGGATGAGTACTCGCGTACTCGTCTAACCACCCAAGAATTCTGAAGAACGTAAAGGAATACGAGATTCAGTATATCAATTCTCTTCAAGGGTACAGATTGTCTCATTAAATGCGCATGAATGCCAGGGGAAAATTAACATGAATCTTACGTAAAATGAATGTGAACATGCTGTTTGGGACGATAGCATTATATCCAAAAACTTTGCCAGGCCAAGAGCAGCTGGGTTTGCAGCAATCCCAGTATCTAGGGGTCGTTCCTCCAGCCTGTCTATTAGGAGGAGTGTGCCCTATCACACCAAACACCATGGAATTGTCACAGGTTTCAAAAGCATATTTATTTTAGAAATTGAGCCTCCTATCATCCAGCATGTAGTTCAGGTGAAATGAGTGTATCCTTGGGTCGCAGCGCATCTTCCACCGCAATCTTCCCCTCGTATTTGAGTCTTTGACAAATAATTTCCTCGAAATTCGCATCCCAAGGCCGAGTTGCTCCTCTCCAGTAAATGCTAAGTTTCATCAAAGCAGCAGACACAGGGATTACAGTCAAGGGAGAGACTAGAGCAGAAGCAGTAGAGGAGTAGAATTTGTCATTTTCTTACCTAGGATGGGCCAAGGAAAGTAACCATAACTACAATATAATTAAGGATTATGTTATTCATTTGTGCAGACATTTGAACTATATTTAACTTGATCCACTGCTTCGAAACTACGGTTCGACAATCCATACGCGCTTCTCAACAAAATAGTAAGGCAATATAAATATCAAATGTTGCCCAGAAATTAAACAACTCAATTTCCTTCCTTACAAAATTTCCTACAAAAATGATTTCACCACTAGTTATGCAGTTACGATGCAGGATGACGTCGTTTTCCAAGACTTTTGGGGAGAGGGCCCTCGTAGGTTTATATATTTGAAAGTGAGAGTTCGTATAAAAGGGTTTATCTCATTTAATTCAGTCTTAAAATAGAATATCAATGGGTAAGCTGATTTTTTTCCCAAAATTCACCTCCGTCATGGCCATATGACCTATATTATTTTTTGTGTATGCCAAAATATTCCATCAACCCCTAAAAAGATCAAGGGCTGTTTCCCGGCTTCGCATGTTCCTCATTCACTACGATACTATTAGATTCGCGATTGTGCAAGCTGAATCCCAGCAGATTCATCTGTTTCACACGGGAGAATTTCACTTAAACTACACAGACTCATTCATGGTTTGACATGAATCTCTAACTTTTCCTTCATCTATGCCTCTACCATGACTTTCTGATCGTGAAACACCCCAACAGGAACAAGCCGAATGTGAGATGTGAGACATCTCCGTGTTGGAACCCGTTAAGAATAATTAATTAACCCAAGTTTCATTGGACATGCCATGGGTAGGGAAGATGGGGAAGTACAAGATATATATTGTCCAAAGAGTGATAGAGAATCACAAGTTCGATTGAGAGGGGAATGAACGAACGACTTTCAGCGGAATTCCACCTATTCAAAGAAGAAACGGTATTTCTCCATTTCTGAATCAAATCCGATGACTTTGCTGGATCCATAAAGGCAAATGATTCATCAGCTTCGGAGTGACAAGCCCCCGTCTCGCCGCGCTCGCATTGTCTCACCTTGTGCAGCGATAAATACGGTGAAAGCTGAATATTGTGAAAGCGGAGACTTCGCTCCAATCAAGTTTGCATGAACTGCGCAAGTTCCTTTTCTTTTCAAACTTCACTTCAAAATTCAACCTCCTCGTATTCCTCTCTGAAAGCATCAACAGGAACGAATTTTGTCATGCTTCTTCCATAACGAGAAGTCTCGAAGACCAGGGATTTCTCCTTATAGTCCTTATTGACCCCGTAAGTCGAGAGTTTAGCTTTTCCTTTTCACCCAGAAACACTCCGTCGGTTAGGCTTAACGTTAGTGCGTTACATAGAGATGGGGGCGGGGCAGGTGAGGTCGCGGTTGGGGCTGAGGTTGGGATCGGGTATGAAGAAAGGAAAAGCCTTGAACAAATGGTTTTCCCATCACTTTTTATTACCACTACACGAACGCTCATACACATTCATGCTTACGTTGAATACTATATCATGAATATAAAGCGTTGAAACGCTAAGATCATTTGAAAAACGTTCTTTTGAAGGTGCAATTTCACCTTAATCCTAAAATGTATTGTCTCTATTTGTATTACATGAAGAACGTTTTCTGTTCTATTTCATGAATGAGTTTTCTGATCTGAAACAGATCTATCCGCAAATAAGTTGGTACGAATAAATAGTTTCATATGTATTCCTCTAAATTCATCTAGGAACGAAATGAGTCAAGCATTTTCCAGAAAAAATTGTTAAATTTTAAAATGAACTGCTTGAGATCGATCACGAAAAATGAAATCAGTCATGGGGTCCAACAATTTCGAAGGCTGATGTGTTTCGTTCAATAACATAGTGCTTGGGAGAACAACTTATCTGGAAACAAGCCGTTTTCTTCCTTAATGCAACGTTTTTGCTTAATGCTGAGAATATGAAACAATGATTATGCATAATGACCTGCTCATACATTAAAAAAAAATGACGAAAACTGTGCATATACAAAGTATCCTTTCTATGCTTTCTTTCTACTATTCGGTATGAGGATATATTTTTTGCCTTATTTACTTCACAAAATTCTTCTGGAGTCTCTAAAAGAAAAAAGCCCTCGGCACTTTGCATTGCATAAGTACTGGCGCAGAAGTACTGGAGAAAGAAGATCGGGAGAGTTTTTTTTATCAATTCGTGGACTGGGTTCTGCGGAATCTCCTTCTCTTCGCTAAAAAGCACTCCTTTTACGCTGTGACTTTCCCTTTGAAAGATACGATAAGATGACGCAGCACGAAGACTTTTGCAATAAGAACTCGAGTTCGAGTGAGTGAGTCTCTCTGATTCTAATCATTTTATTATTATTAATTACTAAACTAGGATTACGAGCAGCTGTTGAGGGGCGAACGTCAGGAAAAATCCTACTCATGAGAAAAACAATATTTGAAAAATATTTTTTTCACTTTTGTGAATGGGGCAGATATAAAAAAGCAATATGAAACCTTTCACACATGCTACGATTTTGAGATCAAAATTAATTCCATGTTTGAGGTACATTCCCTCGGAGCACGATTTTCAGGCGTGGCGTTCTTTCCAGTTGCCAATTTCGCTCCAGCGAAACCAGACAACAGAGAAAGCTTAAATTTGTCGAGCGTGTTCTTTTTCATGTGATGATTTTGGGAAATCTACTCTCAAGGTACATCAATTAGGGGCACATTATTCCGGAGAGACGTACTTATAGAATTTTTCTCCGCTGCTAGGAAAAGAAAATAAATACAAGCTTGAAATGTACCAAATATATATCAACACATACTGAGAGAATCGGAGGAAAATCATGATTTGAGTAGTCATTACGGTACATTCTCAAATGATTACTCATATTTTTTTATAAGTACCTTCAAGGAACGATGCAATTTTTTAATCCCTCAAGATTGGGAGGGTTTTGCATTTAAATCATTGAGTGAGTAATAGCCATGAGAACTGGAATAAATACTTATCCTATTCCACCAGGATATATATTACATGCAGGATAGCTCTTAAACAAAAAATATACTTAGGATTTAACGACTCAGAAATGTTCCTGAAATTAGGTTTTCATAGTCTGTGGTGATATACTCTATAAAATAGCTAATTTTTAAGATATTCCCAATGGAATTGAATATATCCATCCCCTTCTAGAAATTCTCTTGCTACCAGCGTCCACAGATCTATTTGGTAGGCAAACGGTTTTAAAAATTTTTTTTTTGCAGTTCCAGTTGAAAATTTTCCCATAAATAATGGGTACTTTCTTCGGTTAGAAGTACTGACAATTTTAAGGTGATGAACATCTGTTAATGCAACAAGTTCCTCATGCTAGGCAAATCTTTAAATTTCACCTATGATTTGATATCATCTTGATTTATCACGGAATTTCCTTTTCATAAATATAGCCTACTTAGTTTTTTAAAAAAAAAGAGGAATGCATTCAATTGTCATTCAATGGGAGTTTCTGCTTCTTGTTTCATCAGTTTGCACTTCTTGCAGGTTTTTTTTAGTCAATGTTGGCCGTAACTTCTCATTTAACGGGTTTCTTAGCGTGGACGTGGAAAATGTGTCACATTTCTCTTTGAAAGTTTTCTTTTTTGTGTATCCAGTTTTTCAAAAATCATTTTTGCAGACATATCGTAATAAGCATGCTGATTTTCTCTTATAGGTATATGCCAGTGTAGGACAAGAAGCAGGACTGGTCCTTGTTCCCATGGACTCTACGGCTTGGAAATCCAGCAAAATGTTTCTTTTGCTAATATCGGGCCTCTTGATGCCGATTTGTGGTTCGTCCGAAGAGCACGGCGCGACAACTGGCGGCGAACCAGAATCCGATCCGGAAATCTCGGATTACGTGAACCTCGCGAAATACCTCCTTCTCAGCGCGAACAAATTCCGACTGTTCCCGGATCCCCTCAAGTGCTTGGACGTGGACCCTCAGAAGCGACTCGTCTGGGAATTCCCCGACGGAGACGAAGGGATCCGGTTCTGCGACCTGTGCCCCGACCTGCCGCCGGGGAAACTGGAAGAGGTCGTCATCGACGTCGCCCCGTTCTTCAGTTTCCCGGTCGCGCAACTCGAAATGGGGCTTGCGGAGTGTTTCGACGGCTGCGCGGCGCGCGACCGGTGCGTGGCTCTCGGTCTCGATCGGCTGCACCGGATCTGCTACCTTTTCGACACGACCGACGGTCGGTTCAAGTCGGAGGACGACTGGACCACGGTCCTCATGAAGCAACCGGTCGAGGTCGTTCAGAATTGGTTCTACGGCAGGCATTCCAAGGTATCGGAGGGGGATTCCATACGCGAATCGAACGAACACTCCCTGCTGGCATGCATGCACCGCTGTCAAGAATATCGACAATGTCGACTCCTTTCTTACGACTTCGCGACGACATCGTGTCGGCTGTTCAGCAACCTCACAAATGCGACAATCGACTACGAGTACGGGAAAGTAGCGGCTTTCCGCGTCGACCTAGCTCACAGCAGCAGCTCCACTTCGTGGCGCTTTGTGGAACACGACACGCACGACACGCCGGAACGCGATCCCGATTTCCCGCGACAGAGCGGTTCCTGTCGGTCGCCGGCGGACCGAGAGCTTGGGAGTTTCTACACTCCGTCTTGCTTGGCGTCGAACGGATCGGGTTGCGATTCGTCCGGCTGTCGGGATTGCTATTACCCGGAAATATCGAAGCGATACCGACGCGACCTGCCGGTCTGCGGAAACAGTCGCCACGCGGCGCGGCGCGAAGACGCGGAGAGGTGCTTCGCGGCGTGTCTCCGGACGAGCACCTGCATCGCCGTCGACGCGGGTCCTTCCGGCGATTGCAGCCCCGTGCTCTTCGACGGCTGGGTCCCGCCGCGTCGAGACGCGACGAGGTTCGACCTGATCCGACCGGATGCCTCGTGGAATCTGTCAGAGTTCAGCTGGATCGGCGAGGCCCGCCTGGTGCCGCTTCGAGACGGCAGCGAACACTTTTTCGACGTTCACCGCGGCGTGGCTCCCGACGACTGCCTGGCCCTGTGCCTCGATGCGCCGGAGTGCGTCAAGGCTTCTTACTCTGCGAGGGAGAAAGAATGCACGCTGGCGACAAATATCGTCGGGTTCGAGTTCGTCGAATCCGACGGCGACGACACCGCCGTGTCGTTCGTTCGCAAACCGGCTCTCGACTCCGAACTGATTTCGTTTCGACGGACACCCGGATGGGAAATCACGTCCCCGGACTTCCTCGAGCAGCTTTATTTCCGCTGTCACCGCAGCTGCTCCGATGCGATTCTTCGGCGATGCTTGAGCACGTGTCTCGGAACGGAACGTGTCGGTTCGTGTCGGTCGGCTACTCTCGACCGGAGCGGCAGGGTCTAATTTCGTGCACTTTTTACGACGGGAACCTCGACCCGACTCCGAACCTCACGATGAGCCAGTCCGTCTTTG